TCACTGTAGTCTCCATAGTTCTCCCACTGCCATATTACCTATGGTCTATCATCATGTTCCTTTCTGTTCATTCATGCCCCGTTTTGCCCCTGCCTTTGCTGTATGCTTCAGTTCTATGGTTGGCTTACTAGTTTTGACTTTTCCTTGACCTTTTGTTTGGCTTCTATATCTCCCACATATAAATGAGATCACCTGGGATTTATCTTTTCCTTCTGAATAATTTCAACTAGCATAATCCCCTCAAGCTCCATACTTGTTGCCACAAATGGCATGAGTTTATCTTTTTTGATCGCTGAGTTGTAGTCCATTGTATAAATATACCACCACTTTTTAAGCCATCCATCTATTTTGGGGCATTTGGGTTGTTTTCATATCTTCACTATTGTAAATAGTGCTGCAATAAACACAGGAGTGGGGTTTCCTTTTGGATTAATGTTTTTGTGTCCTTTGAGTGAGTTTTTATGTGCTTATTGCCAGTTTTTGAATCAGGTTTTTTATTTTATGTTGACTTGCAGTTTTCTAAAAAATGTATATCCTAAATATTAACAGTTTATCACATGTATGATTTGCAATTATTTTCCCCTATACCGTACATATCCTTTTCACTGTGATCAGTATTCTTTGATTCATAGAATATCCTGGAGACTTTTTAAAAATTTAAAGTCTGTTATTACATGGTTCATAGCTTAAATTTCAGATATTTAACTCTGGGTTAGTTTTTATTTTTTAGATATATGTATGTACACATAGCACATACACCCTTTTCCTTTTTTTCTTCCCAGGAATTCATTCTAGTCAGACAAAAATATCTACATCTCAGAAGTGTTGAAATTCATCTTATTTTCTCACAGATGCCCTCTGGGGACTTCTATTTTTTCAAAGACATCTTTTTTATGATACCATTTCTAGTCATCATCCATTTCCCTGAGCAGAAAGGAATTGAGCACTGATCCCTCTATGTTCTTCTGCCACAACATCTGAGATGTTTTCAAAATGACTGTTTGTTTCCCTGTCTGCTTTATTGAACTGACAGTTCCTATGAGCAGAGTGTTTGTTATTGGTCTCTTTTACCTTTAATCCAACTGTAGTTTCTGTTATGTGGTGTGTAGATTAAATGTTCAGTAGATGTTAAATGAATGTGCTTTTACTGAATACATGAATAAATGCATTTAATGGTTAGCCAATCTTACTGGATCTCCATTTACTCTAGAAAAGAATGTAATTCTTGTCTATGGTACTATCCAGGCAGCTATTTCCAAAATGGTTTTTGGGAGCAAGCTCCTGTTTGACGATCCTCATTCCCTCTGGCTTCCAGCCATTCTGTGGTATATCTTTATTACTGGTTAGATTTTTTAATGTAGCTTACTGTACCATACAGATACAACTTTTAAAACATATAGCAACTCTACTCCAGAAAGGTTATTTCTTATCTGCAAATATTTTGAAAACACAGAAAGGACTTATATCAGATGGAATTGCACAGGTTACTCCAGATAAGCTTGCTCTTGGTATTACTGGGGGTAAGCCAGAGAGCCTGGGAAATAATCCTTTGGTTGGTGTTTAAGACCAAACAAAAACAAAAACTGGTATCTCTTCCACTCTTCCATTAAGACTGTAGCTCTTGTTTTGAATTGTGGTAATAAATGACTTCATTGAAGGCTTGTAGTTTATGATGTCCCCTGGCAGGAAAATCTTGAAAATATTTTACTGTTATAGCAGATTTCACACTAAGCCATATTTCAAAAAGTCATTAGTAAATGTTCTGGAAAAAGAACAGTCAACTTCCAGTGATATGTTACCAAAAGATGGATTGCTACTATTTTAGATGATTTAGTTGTGCCAATTATATAGATTTTTTATGAGTTATGTACTACATGATTTCCAGTAAAACTTTGATTTTAAATGTAAACAGCATTTATTTAAACATTTAATTCACTCCTAATGTAAATACTAACTTGATCTGTGTTTTTGTACATTTTTTTCTTTAAATGTTAGATGTCTATATATAGGCACATTCTGCATTGAGTTCAATGAAGTAATTTTCATCCCTCCTTTTGGTGACAGTGTTTCTGTTTCTTGAGTGATATAAAAGTAATTAATTATAAAATGAGACACAGACTATAATAGAGTCTTTTCTAAGTGAAACATTTGAACTGTGTCTCCTGGTTCTTACAAGAGCTTAGAATTTACTTTGCTTACAAATATTGTCAATTGCAAAGAGAGCAGTAGTTTACATAACTACATATAGGGGTAGTCCAGAGTTTGTTCGAGTTTTAAATAATTTTGGAATTTGTGTTGAAATATTGGCATCTCTGAAATAGTTATACACAGTTCTTCCCCAGGCACAGTGAACCATATTTTAACTGTCTTTGTCTTGAAGTAAACTGCAAATACTCCAGCAGTTTGTCAGGTTACTGTCATGTAGCGGCCCTATTTAGTGCATTCTTGGTTTTGAATCTCCTTCCTCATTGATTTGTGATGGTAATGGACTGCAGTAACCTCTCAGATATAAATAACCTAAAGCAAAAATGACTTTATTTCTCTATACTTTAGCATGTTAAATCTGCGCTTACTGTGGGGCATTTGGTTTTTAGAGCTTTTTAAAAATCTTCATGTGTCCCTGATCTCACTCACCAGGCTGACCTGAATGGTAGTATTCACTCTTTTTTAGACAGTCATTGATGGTTAAAGGTAAATAAAAAACTGCAATCTGATAGTGATTTCTAAGGTAGACATTTGGCAATTCATTCCCAAACCTTTTTTTCCCATACCCTTTTTTTTTTTTTTTACAGATTTATTTTATTTGTACATACAGAACTGGGGTACAGGCCAGAGGCTCAGGGGTGGCAAGAAGGAGCAGTGAAAGGACTCACCAGAGACGGAGTAGGGAGCAGAACAGGCAGATCGACGAAGTACACTGCTGAGGGGAGCTGCGGGCGGGTCAGGAGAGGTCTGCCACGCCATGTGGTCACCTCCGGGGCAGGCGGGAATCGAACTCATGCGGAAGTGGCTTTAGCTTTTCAGTGCAGTGCTTTAACACACTGCACCACCAGGGAGGGCCTATCCCATACCTTTTTATGTCTACCATATCCTACCTGTTTTGTGGACAGAGAATCCACAAGATCCAGAGAATCTTAGAGAAGTCTTTAAGAAGTGTCCAATTTGCAGTTTGGTTGGGGAGAGGTGGGGAGGTAGAGAGATCAAAAATTAGTATGCATTGTGATAAATTTTGAGCTAGAGACTAGAGAAGTTGTCATGGAGTGAATAGAAGTGTCGTTTACCCCAGAGTTTGAAATGCTGGGAAATACTTCTAGGAATAGACCACATCTGAACTAAGTCTGGGAAGATGATTATGAATTTGCCAGGTAAAGAGGAAGAGAAGCCTGAAAATAAGATGACGTAAGAGCTAAGAGATAAGCCTTGGAATAAGTGGTAACTACCAATTACTGAACAGTTGATTTGTGCTAAACTTTATTAGGAGCTTTAAAACCCTTACCTCACAGAAACTTAAAGGACAAGTAGATAATATAATCAGTTTGCAAATGAGGAAACAGAACCATAACTCTACTGAGGTCAGAGCTATATTTAAACCCCTGACTTTTCTGGCTTTTTATCTAGGAATTTTCCTCCCGGGAAAGAATGGTTTCAAGATGGAGGAAATAGTTAAATAATTGTCCTGTTATTGAAAGGTCGCATGTGCAGGATAAATTCTGAAAACTGTCCCTGGGGATTGATAGTGATTTATTTATTCATTCATGGAATACTTACTGAGAGACTCTTGAGTGCCAAGAACTGTGCTACGATTAGGAATAAAGTGACAAATACCAAGGTGTTGAAGATAGAGAAGCATGAAAGAAAATAGACCCTGATCAAAACTATAGCATGAAGAAGTGTGATTGAAAAAGAAGTGTTACAGCTGTCACGTGGGAGAAGTCAATGTGTCTGTTTTTTTTAAAATATTGGAATAATTTAAGGAAAATTGAAGTGGTGATAGATCCCACAAGGATCTTAAAGAACAAGGGGAAGTAGGAACTAAAGTCTGTTAGCTTGCACACTATTTGATTAATCAGCCTGCAGGATGATTCTAACATTTATTTGTAGTGGATAATGGAGACTAGACTAAACATGAAACTTTTTGTTTAACTGATGACTGTGACCTTTATTTCTCAATTTTTCTGTCCATTTTCTACCATAGAATTTATTGTATTGAATTAGAATCATTGACGTCCATATGGCTTTTGGGAGGGGAGATGAGTTGAGACTCTGTCTGATGCCATCTGGGTTGAAATATCACTTTAATAAATACCATTTTGAACAGCAGACAGTATCTTTAAAATTTTAAGGGTTAAATTATCATATGAATCTGCCATGTGCAAATTTTATCATCTATTTTATTTTTTTAAAAGAGTTATTTATGCATTCAGAACTGGGGTACAGGCCAGAAGTGCAGGGGTGGTGAGAGGATTCACCAGGGACAGAGTGGGGTGCAGAGCAGGTAGATTGACGAAGTGCACTGCTGAGGGGAGCAGCAGGCGAGACAGGAGAGGTCTGCCGTGCCACGCGGGTCATCTCCGGTGGGATTGGGATGGAAGTTGCATTGGAGCAGCCAGCTTGCTGGCTTCACCACCAGGGAGGGCTCTGTTGTCTATTTTAATTAAGTAGATACTTTAAGGTGGTATGCCCAAATTCCATTGAATAGAGGATTTTAAATATTTTGTATGCTGAGAGGGCTTCAGGGTTTCATACAGTCTGAAGACTTTCTTAAGTTTATCATTTTAGAAATTTGAGTAATATTATCAATTTTAAATGACCAGTTGTAATCTATCTGGTAAGAGAGGATATAAGATACCCTCATATTTCACTTTCTGTTGATTACAATCTTTTAATTGTTAAAGTCCAATTACACAATTTAAAGTATTTTATTTCCTGTGAATGTGGTATGCAGTTTCCTGCAAATATGTTATGTTACTCATTGATGTCATGGAATTTTCTTTTTTCAGAACCCTGTCCAAAGGATCCCTGACTCTCATGAGATAACTCTAAAGCATGGCACTAAAACAGTAAGTTTAAAAAATTGATTCTTTTTCTTCAGTAACAAAGCTCTCACAGAAAAGTGAACTAATCAGATATATTTCCATAAGGCTAATTACCCAATGAACTTATATCATTATGAAAAATAGAAAGATTACTTTTCTGTCCAATCAAAATAAACATTGCCTTTCATTTAAAATTGGAACACTTATTATTGTCATTGTTATGATTGGCTTTAAAACCTCTTTTTCCTTGATAGAGGAAAATTATAAGTGAAAGAAAGAAATGAAACTCAAATACAGTTTTCTTTTTTATGGTGTGGGAAATTTTCTCACTACCCTTAGCTTTATTTCTATATCAGTAAGAGGATTGTGTTCATTTTTCAGATGAATGTGAGAGGAATTAAACATAAAATAGAAACTGTATTGCTCTAAGATTATATTAATTAGATTTACAAATTATGTTTTTAAGTAACATAAGTGTTATTAAAAGATTAATATGGTTTTTGAGAATTATGAAATAATTTGTCTTATTGTAACCATTTAAAAGTGATAGTTTAATAAATGAAACCTGCTTATGAATGAAAGAATAAAATTATCTTATGTTTCCTTTAAAATGAAGCTACTTTTTTCTAGATTATGATGGAAAATGCATTCCATAATGAGGGAAAAACATTAATCAATAGAAATAGCTCTAGAAATGATAGAATTAGTAATAAGGCTGTTAAAATAGTGACATTCTTCATACTAAGACTTCCTTTTGAAAATGTTGTTTGCATAATATTTATGTTAAAATATGGTGAACTGAACAATACATATTTTAACTGTCTTAGTTTAAATTTTAATTTCTACTATGGTAACTGTTGACACACATTATTCTCATGAACAAATGTTTTCTGGGATCCTTGATAAGATTTTAAGAGTATAAAGAATCTTGAAAACAAAGTATCTGTGAACTGCTGCCTTAAGAAATCATTCCATCGATTTCTCAGTATTTTAGGTACTTTCTGTTAAATCCGATTTTTGATATTTTTATTTTGAAGCTGTGACAGAATTTTGCTAACTTTCATGTTTTTAAGGTAATCAGGTAAGGCATTCAGAGACTGAAAAGTTGGCTAAAAAAAAAATCACAAAGCATTATTTACAAATATTTATCTGTGGGGCTTTCCTTGTTGTGCAAGGGTTAAAAATCTCAGTGCTATCAAATTATTACCAGACATTGCAGTATGAATTGGTTCCCTGGCCAGGGAGCTGATCCACATGGCACAGCAGACTTCTGTCTTGGTTGGCTGCCTCCTTCAGCAGTGTATTTCAGGCAGTCTGTGCTTATTCTATTCCCCACTCTGTCCCTGGTAAATCCTCTCTCCCATGCACCTCTTGTCTATACCCCAGTTCTTGCATGCATAAATAAATAAAAATAAATTTTTAAAGAAATGTTTTTCTGTGTATCAGCATTTTCTCAATAGTATGTATCAAAATAATATCAATAACCATTGGATACTAGGCTTATGTAAAAGTGCTGGTGTATTCTGATGCTTTGGTTTTAAGTTTTGTAGTGGTTAGGACATTCTCATTTCTTACTCTTAATTAAGTTTTTGATAAGAACATATAGGCAGCTCTAATGTGGCACAGTGACAGTTATAGAAACCTGTGCAGATTGACACTATATTTTCCCACAGATCCTTAAAGTTTATCTCATTTCTTTTGGATTAGATCCTCAATCACAAAGCCAGGAAATACACTCTAATGACCTTTCCTGTTCTTTCTAGTTGCAAGGACTGTTACAATATATTATAAATCAACCACTACCTTCAGTTTTTATTTTTTAAATAAAGAGGAGAGAAAAAAATGTTTATGGAACTTTTAAGATAAAATGGAGTTTTTTGGAAATGGTATTTTCTAACCTTTAACCAGATCTTACTTTGTCTTTTTAATAAAAAGAAATCAAGGAATGTTCTTGGTCACCTACACACGGCTTCCTTTGTATTCTATGAGATGATCCAGATCTTTAAATGGGAAATAGACTATTCTTATAAACATTGTAGTGCCCAGGAAAGCTTATCAGTGGAGGAAATTCTTCCTGAGGAATCCATTCCAGCTTCCATGTTTTTTTTAGATTCTGTATTCTTTGGTTCTACATCATGACACACATCTCTTTTCTTTTACTAATACAGTGACATAATGTTCATTTATTTTCCTCCTCAATTAAATAATTCACAGTTGAGGCAGGGCAAACATTTTAGAGGTGCTGCTTTTCCCAGGTTTCCCTTTGAATGCATTATTCCCAGCTATCATCAAATCATTGACCCCCAGGAAGTCGGAAACTACTGTCCCTAAATAAGCCTTTCCTCTTCCCTGGAGAGCACAGTGAGGGCGGTTGCAACTAGTTACTGCCACTTCTGTCAAGACTGAAGACCTACCTTCTACCCTAGTGGAGTTTACACGCTCAAGGGAGGACAAGCATAGAATAAAAGCCACAAATGAATTTCGAATTTCAAATTGCATTGTAGGGGCAGGCGGGAATCGAACTCATGCGGAAGTGGTTTCAGCTTCTTAGTGCAGTGCTTTAACTCGTTGCACCACCGGGGAGGGCCTATAAATTCATTTTTAAAAACGATTAAGGTGGCTATCCTGAGTCATTTAGCCAATGCACAAAATAATAATTTCTATTCTGCCTTACTTTGTTAAATACGTGTTTTAAAGTTCCCATTGCAATTACACATTTGGTAATTTTAATTGTTGTAGTCTTCATTCACTGTTATCTTCAAAGGTTTCCTCAGAATTACTTATTGGAAAAACAAAATTATTTGCAAGATTTTTACTTACATAGTAAGGGCAACTTGATTGATTATATGGTATAGCGATGATTACCCGAGTACATGGTGAGTGGGGGCATAGTTGGCAATTAGATTAAAATAAATTCCCCCCCTTTATTTCAGAGGGAAAATACCCAGAAGAACAGTCAAATATCTATCTCTTCACACTTTTCAGAAGTCACAAAAGTTGACTAGTCTAGAAAGAAAGGGAATGGGGGTTTAGAGTAATAGACATGAGTAAATTTTCTTCAATTTTTTTTTTTTTTTAAACCAGGTTTCTGCTTTGGGTCTGGACCCCTCAGGTGCCCGTTTGGTAACTGGAGGATATGATTATGATGTTAAATTTTGGGATTTTGCTGGAATGGATGCTTCTTTTAAGGCATTTCGGTCCCTTCAGCCTTGTGAATGGTATGTATTGTGTAACTTAATACAGTATCTTCATATTGGAAGACTGAATGCTCTTGTCACTTGAAATGCATCTGTAATGATTTTTGCCAAAATGCAGTAAGTTCCTGTGACTGTGTTTCAATATTCAAATGAAAGTAAAGGGTACCTTAACTACCTTGCCTAGTTTATTTTAAAGCACTCCAGTTAATACTGAATAGTGTAATTATATGTGTGTGTGTGTATCACATATGTTAGGCCAATATCCAGGTGCTATTCAGTGCTGCACTAGGCAGGTAGAGTCAGCTGGAATTACAAAGCATTTTACATGTTGCTAGTTACAAGTTACCCTCTCATTTTGACACTTGACCATATTTGATGTTTTAACATATTGGGTGTAAAATATGAATTTTTATTGGTGAACCTAATGTGTTGCATAGCACATGTTGGATATAGGCTCTCATTGATGAGATTGAAGATAGTCAAGATATGTGGATTAGCTGAAATTATTTAGACTCAAATTTCTCCCTCTGTAGAAACAGGATGTAAGAATTTTGCTTTTACTTATTTATTTTTGGTTAAAAAATACCCCAAAATGTATTTATTTAATTCATTCATACAAGGCTTAACAGAAGACTTAATTAAAGAAATGGAAACAAAATAAAATGACACCAAAGGATATAGAGTCCTGTGCAGAAATAAAAAAAAGAGAGACCATCTAGCAATAAAAAAATAACAATAGAGACAATGAATGCAAAATGAGAGACTGGACAGTACAGTTCAGGATTCTTGGTGCACGACTTGCTTTGAGCAGGCTTCTTGTCTACACTACTTAGTGGCTGTGAGGATTTCCCAGAACCTGACACCTTGTGTGTTCAGAGGGTTCTCCATGTTGGCTCTCCGGCATGCTCCGAAGGGAGTGCAAGACTGTCCTAACGTGATACAGCACGATCCACTTTGTCCTTAATGTATCCAGGGAGATGTTACCCTTGATGCCCTCTTTGGGGTGGTGGTAGGATTTGGGGAGCTTCACTGTGTGCATGTTTTGAGAGTAGTCAGTGGGAAGCTCCAGGGAGAACTTAATATTTCACATCGTCACAAACTGGTGCCGGGTGCTCCATGGATGATTCAGCCCCTTTGAAAACGTTGTGTGGTTCAGGGAAGGCAGAAACTCACTTCTTGCCAGATCTCCAGAGGGTCAACAGCTTCTTTGATAGCCTCTTGTCCACAGGCCCCCAAGCGGTACCCTCACTGGGTTTGGCTTCTTGATAGCTTTACTCTCGTGGGTTGTGGTTTTGGAAGACCATCCAGGTGATGCTTGCAGAGGATGGGACTCTGGAGCATGTGACTGGTGTTGGGCTTATCCTGAACTCTTAAAGGTGTTTTTTTGCTAAACCTTATATCCATGTGTGTGAACTCTGGGTTCTGTCAATAATGTGCAGCAAGCTTCTATTCTTGGACTATTGGGTTTTTGCTTTCAGTGAACCTTTTAGCAAAGTGTTGGTTGGAGCATCCAAAAAGCTAGAGAGCTGGGATTTTCCTTAACTGCAGAAGAACAGTTCATATGAATAGTTTTTGCTTACTTGCAAATAAATGCTTAGTAATGTTTGTATATGGATAAGAATTGGATCTGAGACCTTATAGTTCCCGGGCAGCTTTCTCTAAAGTAATGCTGGTCCCTTTTCTACAAATCATACTAAGTTGTAAATTTTGAAGTTATGACTCTGGTTATCTTTAGTAAAGTTTTTAGAATTTGGCAAATGAACATGGCAGATCTTTGATCACTTGGACAGGCAAAAAAGCTTTAAAAAAAAAAACAAAACTGAGAAACTGAGTGTCTCCAGTGATGACTGTATTTAAAGTAGCCTTCATGATAATAGTAGTATGTTATCTTAAACTAGAATGAATACTTTAAAATATATATTTAAAATAGGTCACAATATCCCCTTTGCCCACATGCTAATCTCTTGCTTCATGTAGACATTATTCTTTCCTACCTTTGCAGCTGTTCAGGACTATTCAGTGCTTTGTTACTCATCAGCTCTGAGTACAAAACATGTCTCTTGAGTCTCTAGCTAGTTCTGTGGTACTGAACTGTGTCGTTAACTGTAGTCTATAATTGAAAATGCAGAGAATCCTAAGAATAAGCACAGAATATTTTTCTTCCATAATTAAATTATTGCAACCTATATATGATAGTGAGCTAGCTAAGGGTAGATGGGAAGAAACAGAATTCTTGACAATCCATATAAAATTAATGTAAACTTTAATGCTGCAAATATTATGTGAATGTTGCTATTTTAAGTCATGAGAACTATTTAACTTTGCCATCATTTCCCCCCAATCTCCAAATAATGTGACTCTGCTTTTCATGCTATTAGTATTTTAAGACTCAGTGTGTATTATTTATTTGTTTATATATTTTTGTAAATCACTTTTTCTTTTTTAAATATGTATTTATTTATGTGTACAAGAGCTGGGGTACAGGCCAGAAGTGAAGGGGGTGAGAGGATTCACCAG